CTGCCATTCCGAGGGACCTGGAGAGGCTGGAGAGCTGGGCGGAGAGGAACCTCCTCAAGTTCCACAAAGGCTAGTACAGGGTCCTGCACCGAGGGAGGAAGAACCCCAGGCACCAGGACAGGCTGGGGGTTGACCTGCTGGAAAGCAGCTCTGCAGAGAAGGACCTGGGAGTCCTGGTGGACAACAAGTTAAGCATGAGGCAACAATGTGCGCTCTTGTGGCCAAGAAGGCCAATGGGATGCTGGGGTGCATTAGGCAGAGTGTTGCCAGCAGGTGGAGGGAGGTGATCCTCCCCCTCTCCTCAGCCCTGGTGAGGCCACCTCTGGAGTACTGTGTCCAATTGTGGGCTCCCCAGTCCAAGAGAGACATGCCACTACTGGAGAGAGTCCAGCGGAGGGCTCCAAAGACGATGAGGGGCCTGGAGCATCTCTCATATGAGGAAAGGCTGAGAGAGGTGGGGCTGTTGAGCCTGGAGAAGAGAAGACTGAGAGGGGATCTCATCGATATGTGTAAATATCTGAAGGGAGGGTGTCAAGAGGATGGGGCCAGACTCTTCTCCGTGCTGCCTAGGGACAGGACAAGAGGCAATGGGCGGAAACTGAACCACAGGCCACAGAACCATCTGAACATGAGGAAAAACTTCTTTCCTGTGAGGGTGAGTGAGCACTGGCACAGGCTGCCCGGAGAGGTGGTGGAGTCTCCTTCCCTGGAGATATTTAAAACCCATCTGGATGCGATCCTGTGCAATGTGTTCTAGATGACCCTGCCATTCTGTGATTCTGTGTATCTGTGTTCTTACCAGAGACAGAAGTCAGTCTCACTGAGTCAGACATCTTGTAGTTCCCAGGGTCCCCTCGAGAGACCTTTTTGGAGATGGGAATTAGAGTGGCAGTCTACTGGGTCTCTATTTGTAATAACGGGTTATACATCTTGACCAGAACCAACAATTTCAATTTTACTTTTGACTTCCTTCAGAACTATTGGGCTAATACCATCTGGTCATGGGGACTCATAAACATCCAGCTTATGTATTCAGCCTAATACTTCCTGTGTATTTACTTCAGATTGAGCTCGCTGCTCCAAACCTGTCAGGTGTGGGATTCTCCCCAGCATCTTCAGCAGTAAGGACTGAAAGCTACATGGATGTCCTGGACTTCAGTTTCCTGCCTAGTCTGAGTTTAACCTCAAGAACGTGCCTTCTACACTTTCCTGTACTATCGGTCTCAACACAGGCCACAATTGTCAGTTCCTTTCCAGTACACTCACATAGTCTGTCTAGATCACATTGCGAGATCCACTACTTTCGCAGATGGAAAGCAAATTACTTTGCATCCAAGGCTTCTTGGATGTCAGAAGCCTAGTTTCCTATGTACCTAATAATTGAATAGTCCTACATTTTACAGTCTCTTGGGCTGCAGGAGATCCTTGGTGCAAGAGAATACTGTGATAACAGTTGATAGATGTTTCTTATATAAGAGATCACAAACCTGCTGATCAGCAAAACGTCCTCCTCCCTAAGGTTTTTGTACTCTGTAGTAGCAGAGGGCTTGCCACCGTGGAGATTCTTGTAGGTCTCATCCATTTACCTATTTCTTTATTACTCTCTACTACTCTAATCTCTGTTCTCTATTTCTTTATCACTTCCCCATTTACTAGAACACTCCAGTTCAGCCATTCTCACTTTAAGAGGAGAAAAACTCCTCGGTGTCAAGAGCTCCTTGCACTGTTACATACATTAAACCTGCCCCATGGGTGGGTAGTTATGCATGTTGTACTTTGTGCAATACAGTGGGTAGCTCCCTCCCTCCCTGCTCTTGGATTAATCTAGCTGCATCTTGAACTTAAAACTACGTTGGTTTTTGGAAATGTATATTAGTTTAGCTTCTCCTTTGAAGAAACTACTTACCCTGCTCAGCTCTTTTTAAACTAGTTAGTGATAGGTAGGAAATATTCAAGATTGTAAAGAAGTCCCACACATGCACACACAACATGATCATGCTTATCCGAGGCTCTTTGTTCCCTCACCAGTGCACACTTCCAAAGCAACAGTTCATGCATGCTATACATGCATATGCTATATATACAGAGAAACCTGGGGACGGGAGCCAACTCACTCTGGCTTATCTATTACAGTTGGTTAAAACCCAGTCATCACAGTGAATGGAGTCTAGAGAGCAACTCAGCAGATGTCTATTTGAGAATCAGGTAAATAGTTCTCTATATTTCATTGAATATTCATCACATTTTCATTGACCTATAATGGGTGCATAGACAACTAGTTTTCACAGGTCACCTCAAGTTAGGCAAGCTAAATCCTACAGTTTTTTCAAATTCCAAATCTCAGAAAATGAATTACATAGCTGCTGAGTTGCTTGTCTTTTGGGCATCACAATATTGTGCTGTTACTCCACTTGTCCATCAGCTGTTCTAACTGAACAATCTCTTCTACTCCCAGATTGTCTGATTGCAGCCTTCTAACAAGCTAAATATCCTATAGTATAAAGACTCAAAATGGTTTTTGTTACCTTTTTTGACAGAATGAGATGACCTCAACTAAGCATGGAAGAAGAACCACTACTACTGACTTGTCACCAGCCATAACAAAAGAAAAAGCCCAAATAAATGGGAAATAACATTTATTACTAATATTCTACTGACCGTACTAGCAATCTGTGTTTACGCATATCACAAAGGATCAATTTTCCTTTCACCCTCCAAATTCAAAAATAGCAGATTGTCAAAAGAAACCACGTTTATTATAACTAATTCATATAGTGTGTATGACTCTTCTTTTACTCTTTCTTGCATAAATATGAAATTTGTATTTGAAAACCCATGAAAACTAGAGTAGAGAGGCAAGTCCCTACATCCACAGTCCATATTAGATCTGCAGAAGTTACAGTTCTAAAAACAATCACAGAGCATCAGCCTAGCATTATTATCCAGATGTGAACACCCCTACACATTCATGAAGCATTGCTGATTTCTGCAAGAGCTGCATAGGCATGATATGTATGTCGAGTGGGATGAATGCAGTATCGCAGCCTTTAAAAATATGACGCCTGCAGCATAGTCTAATCTGGGAAGCACATTGCATGCAAATAGAACGAATTTTAAAAAATGAAGCCATCCTTCTGATAGACTTATCTATCAAATGTATATGTATATTGTTTCTTTCTATGAATTTCTAATCTATGCATTTTCAAACACATTGGTATGAAACGTGGTTATCTTTTGAATATGATTTCATGCAGTTTTCTACAGGTTATTTAATTTTTCATTCTCTCATAATGGAGGAAAGTGTAAGTCACTGATGTTGCCAGATAAAATATTACCAAGCGGTATTCTACATTAGCATTGGCAACAGCTGATAATCATATAGATCTGCAATATTATATCATGATGCACACTCCGTTGATTTGAATTACTTATTTTCTGACTTCTTCTTTCTCTAAAGGGAAGTTGGAGGATAATGTTCCAACTAGATTTACTCCTTGTGTGAAACTGCCATGCATTTTCAACAGAAAAGTTATAGATCATGCTTCCTTTATGTAACATGAGGC